GTCCTTGATCTTTTGTACAACGGTCGATAAATCCGGGGTGTCAAAAATCGGCGGAAACTTTTCGGACAACCCAATACCAGTAGAAATCAACAGCGTTGTCATGAATTCATAATGCATGCACCACATCTACTAGCTGTTATATCTCAAACTCTATACATGGTACTTTGACTTTACTAAGAGAACTACACTTTCGTTTGCTTTCGAGATCAGATTTAGTTCTCGCAATCCCATTGATGATACCACGCAAAGACACAGCAACGAAGTCCAACAGCAACCGTCGCGTCGCGGGTTTCGTTCCTACTGCACCACACCCCTTCCAGTGGCTAGAATTTCACCATTCTCTGGGTAATAGAGCTTTTCGAAACTGTTTCCGAAGAGTTAACAAATCTTGTCTATGATAACATAGCCTTAATACAGAAAGGTTCAACCTAAATTTGCGGTTCGAGCAAGTTCTGTTGCATTTGCTTGTATATTCCCAATGAAATAATCTTACAACGTTTTCCGCATCGGTTACGCTATTATCCATTCATCCGCTATTAGCCATTGTTTGCATATTTTATTAAAATGCCTTGATTATGCGCAAGCGAAAACTGACTTTGACAGCGACATCTCAGGTTATTAGCTGGAAGCTCTTCTGGAAGCGAATCATCGGGAATTTTGCTCAGACATAACAATCTTATGATTTCGACACTACATTGTGACCATCTAAAGACGATTAGCAAGTCCATGTTGCCTTCACGTAGCCTGTTGTTGATTTGAGTATGCACCAATTGATCTGTTGACAATGATATTTGGTTTCTTCACTGTCCAGCCTAGAATTAAACCTCTTACGATTAAATGTGTCCATTTACTCCAATCCCCATTCATAATTATTCACTAATGTGTGTGATGACTGCGATAAGCGTCTACGGCTGAACGTGATGGTATCGGCTGATGCTTGAGGAATGCTAGATGTGATTCTTTAATTGGTTTGGGTTAGTTGTAAGTTCTGTCCCTGTCACAGTGTATTACGGACCTACACCCTCTATCTATTACGGATGGAAGTCGAATGATGGGCGCATCCTGAAGAGGCGTATACCAGTTTCCAAAAAAAGCTATCCTTCCAATCTTATCAGTTCCCACTAACATTTCTTGTATGGAAATTGCAAAGTTACACAAACTGACGGAAATAATCTTTTCTAATTTCGACAACGGAGCGAAACTAGTTGATG